ATATATATATATGGTAAAAATAGAATTTTAAAGTATGCTATATTTATGGGTAAAGATGCATATTGGCTGTTCATTTAAGTTCACATACTTTATATTGTTAATACTCGTTTAGTATTTGAATTTTTAGTCCATTTCTTACTCGTAAATGGTCTGCTGTGCTTGATTTTGTCTTTTCATCTCGGTTTATTACTTTATTACTTTTCAATATACTTCAAATTTATTCTTTTGTGAACGAATAAGTTTTTGTGTTCTCTAACGTACAACAAATAATTGTCATTGTACATAGGATTTAAATCATATTTCATTTTATATGAGGTTCTGCCTTTTAAAGAATTTGTAAATTTAAGCGCTTCTATGGAAATTTATCTGTTATATTGGCCAACAAATTTTCCAAATGCAAGTCTTACTTCACACTGCAATCAATAATTGTAATTAAACCTGAATGTTTTCCAGCAATAAAATCATGGAAACATTTGCGTCTTTTATTTAAAATTCTTCCTCGCTTCTAAATGCATTCTCCCCGTTTGCTTTCAAACACATAAAAAAAGCTAGGTTTCTTTCCCCTTGAGAATTGGTTAGCGTTATTAAAGAATTGATAGGTACAAAATTGTTGGTTATAAAAAAAAAACCATTAACACAGCATACAGTTTTCTTGCGGCTATACGAGATTACAGTCCATTAAATCATTTTGACACGAAATTCTGGCTTTTAAGACAGAATCTTTTGGTGCCTGCTAGACTCAAGGTGCATCTCGTGAGAGTTACAGAGATGAAATAGCTTTTTACGGAGGAAGAGGAAGTCTGTCATTTGCCTCTCAAAGACATATAGTCAAACACTTTAAACAAAATTGCACAAGTACAAACAATTCTCTTTCTCTCTCAATATATATATATAGAGAGAGAAATAAAGTGAGATAGATTTTGAATAACCTTAGAAGCGTACTTGGATGTCTTTGCATTGCAGGTTGAATGTGTGATGAACCCTGTTGGGAAGGGAACACTTCAGTAGCCACGTTTGACAGGTCTACTTAACACTTACACCACATTGAAGATATATGTATATATAGATTTATATAAAATGTTACTAAGATTTAGAGAAACACAAGAAGTGAAATGACTTCTTCAACAAAAGAAAAATAATAGAAAATGAGGTTCATTATTTATTTTTGGTGGAATTTCAAGTATAATGTCCAGCAAAACACGATATATAAAATTTTATGAACGATATACCTGGTGTAACCGCAAAATTGACCAAATCATGTAACAGTATGGCATAATTGTCCATCCCACAAAATGTTTAATATTTTAAAAACACTAAACTGAGTTTCTTCTTGTCAGATGAGACGTTTGACACCATTTGACACCATTTGATACCATTTGTCGTAAGAGTCACCGAAAAGCTCTTTGAGTTAATCAGCTAGAAAGAGAACAGTTTAAATGTGTTTTCTGTCAGTCCCAGTCTTCCCAAATGTACAATGGTAAGAGGAAAAAATCATTCAGGCCTTCAGCAATGGTACCAACATTCATATTCTGTCTTCCATCTTCAAAGAGCATTCAGCAGCCATCAGTGGAAAGAGCAATGTTTAAAAAAGAGGGAACACTAGAGAGGAAAACTGGATAGGGGGGCGGTCACAACGGAAGGAGGGGTTATAATTTCAACTTAGAGCTAAAGAGATGAATTAGATAATATCCAATTCATTTCATAAGACTCTTGGTACGTAAGAGATGAGTTTCAACTATGATAGTAAAAAAAAACAAAAAAAAACTTCCATTATCTCTTCCTTATTAGAGAATGGTTTAATGCATATGAGAATCCAAAATGTTCAAATAAGTGTGAGGTCCCTCACGTCTTGTCATGTCTTTTTTTACTGCACTTTGTACTGAGTTTTTTGAACCGTTTTCCAAATCAAAGGATGAGAATATTTTTAAAGATGGAATCAAGAATTTACATGTACGTTGGAGGATAGTCACTCATCAATATCATGTCTCTTTCAACTAAATAAATAATTTATTTATCATTATTTATCATTCCTATAAAGTGCGTCATTTCATATATGACACCCTAATATAATCAATAGCCGTCACTGAAAGTCTAATACCGGAAAAAAGGTCTTTATCAATTAATTTTTATGTTGAAGTGTGCCGACGCTATTCTCCGTAATGTCTTAGCAGCAAGCATCAATTCATCTCTCCCTTTCCTGACTGAGTTTTTTTTCTTCTATCTATTGGATACCATTCAATCAACCTTTTGCTTCATCTATGACCCTTCCTTCTTTCGCTCACATTCTTTTCGCTTTATATTCACTTATATTTTGTTCATTTTATCTTTGATGTGATCACTGACCTCATTCTATTTTTCATAGACATTTTCTAATATTGTTCTTTATTGAGATTCTAATTTTGTTCTCAATTGTATAAAATTCAATGTTAATGTTTCGTTAATTTCCATGTTTTACATATATTCATTATACACTATAAGTATTATATGCCCCGTCTCCCCACTTAGATATAATGCGACATAAGGTTGGGATTGATGTGGGAAAACCGAACGCGTACGTCCCGGCCAGCTCCAGCGACAGTTTGTTGCACTGTGATCGGTATGACTACCGATCCCTACTCTCTAGTGCAGTGATATGGGTACATTTGTGGGAAGCTGTTCTCCGCGACCGGGCAGCTCTCAGTATTTTTTTTTTGTTCAGGCGCGCCTCTTTCGGCGGACATAGACACAATTGAGCCACGCTCTACCCGATGACAAGCACAACTGAAAGATGATAAACACTAGCCAGCATGTGCCAGGTTAAGTATAGAATTAATATATATTTCATTATATTTCTATTATTACTATTGAGTGAGAAAGCACACGTTAACATAGTGATTTTAGGAAACAAACATACAAAATCTAAAATCCAACACAACCATTATGCATTATTTACAGGGTGCGATGGGTAAATTGTCGCCATTTTATATTTGTAATTTCGCGCGTGCGTGTTGTTGATCTTGTCGACTGCACAGTAGAGTAGGGTCAGTTTGGGAACCGTCTATGAGAAAAAAAGCACCATGACGCAATTCACTCCGCATACGACATGCTGTACTGCTTGCCATTCACATCGGAATCTCCAATATGAAACTTTCACAGAGTTTGGGTGGCAATCTGATTACAGTGCAGAGGATTCGGAAAGAGTTGAATGAGTCTAATGTTGATTAAGAAGGTATGGCAGGTCAGAAAACTCATTCTGATCCTTCTGATAAGAACTTTCGAATTTGTTGGTGAGGGTCTCAGGCTTAACACGGAGGCCTAGATCAAGTGCCATGAGGAAGTAATGCTGTCCTGGTTGAAGAGGGTGGCTGCTGGAAAACTCTATGTCTAGAAATTGGACTATGTACCATGCCACACAAGCAGGAGAACACAGACAAGAACCACATCACCCTTTACATCTGATCATCTAACTCCCCAGAAAGCAACCCACTTGATTATTATGTGTGGGTCGCAGTTGTATGACAAAGCAACAAAACTACTTGTAGCACCAAAGGGGAAATTGAAATAAATGTTTGCCACCAAACTTCTTCAACATCCCCCTCAATGTATAACTTATAATTTTTGCTTAGATTTTCGCCCCCTTTTTCCTACATATAAATGAATCTAACAATAGAACTTTAGGATAATCAGACACTTTTACATAACGTTACATAGGATGTTTAGTTATTGACACACACACACACACACACACACACACACACACACACACACACACACATACACACACACACACACACACATATATATATATATATATATATATGTGTGTGTGTGTGTGTGTAAATGAAACTAATAAGAAAAACATCCACTGATCCCCGTCAAAAACTTTTAAGCAAATATGTGAAATTGGTTATCATTTCGCTGCGAGTTAATATCGTATCCATGTTAAACTATAAAACCAACCACTCGATATTTAATAAGATTATATATATATATATATATATATATATATATATATGTACGTATGTATAAGCAGATCCAAACTTTTAAGTTCATTCATCCAAAGGAATCATGTGGGATGTGGGAGAATTAGGGGAGACACATACTTTTGACAGCATATCTCTAAGGCGTCCTAATTTAATTACCAGCAAACCATTTCCTCCCAAAATATGAATAACACGAGTGTCAAGGCCCGTCTTTGTCTTTCTATTTTCTTCCTAGCGCCATCAAATCTCCATATGCTCTTATTGAAATAACTCTTTATAGATTATTCATAAACATCATAAACCATCAGCGCTCGTCCAAATCAGGTAAAAAGGATTCTAAAAGCTTGCATTTGTGGTTACTTTTCATTCATCTGAACTCAATCTGAAGACGACAAATTCTTCTCGAAAGACGGTGAAATAATCTTTGAAACGCGACTAAAAACATAAAGAACATTGCGACATTAAAGAACTCGGTGCGAAATACAAACGCAGTATATAATGATTTTCCAAGCGTAGCTTAAATGTGGCACAAAGTCGAACGTATGGGGCACGCAGTGAGGTTCGAACTCACTACTCAGTCATAATTCTTCTAATTATTACACCACCTCAAAAATGACCTACGAACGCAGTATGTATGGTAGGAATATATTCGCTGACTGTAGTATTAAATCTCATGATTTACTGACATTAATCCCTATTTTATATCTCTTTTGCTTCCTCCTTTTCTTTATATGTCTCCCCAACACACATTGACGTCCCCCACAACACAGCTGCCCACATTACAAGCTATCATTCTGGTTGGTGTGGGTCTTACATTTCGCAAGAGAACCATCGGTTCGAGCTCAAGCAAAATCAAGGCTTCTGATCATTGACTATTCAGGTGTGTTTACCCAATTTTGAATATTGCCACAGCACAAACTTTCTACTTAATTTTCCTCGTTTGGCTTTGAGTTGAGTAAATAACACTAAATGTAAAATAGAAAGCATAAGAAAAATTTGAAAAAGAAAGATAAAAGAAAGAAAATTGAATTAAGGATTTTATGAAGAAGGAAAGAAACAAAAGAAAAAAAAGGAAAAGAAGAGGAAAGAAGAGAAAAAGGAAACAAAAGAGAAAAAAAGAAGAGAAAAAAGAAAGAAGAAGAAAAAAGAAGGAAAAGAAAGAGAAGAGAAAAAAAGAAGAGAAAAAAGGAAATAGAAGAAAAAAAGAAGGAAAAGAAAGAGAAGAGAAAAGGAGAGAAAAAAAGGAAATAAAAAAACAGAAGAAAAAGAAGGAAAAGAAAGAAGAGAAAAAGAAAAAAGAGAAAAGAAAACAGGAAAAAGAAAAAAGAAGGAAAAAAAACATAAGAGAAAAAAAGAAAACAGGAAAAAAGAAGAAAAAGAAGGAAAAAAAAGAAAAGAAATAGAAAAAAGAAGGGAAAAAAAGAAAAAAGGAAAAACAGGAAGAAAAAAAGAAGGAAAAGAAACAGAAGAGAAAAAGGAGAGAAAACAGGAAATAGAAGAAAAAAAGAAGGAAAAGAAAGAGAAGAGAAAAAAGAAAAAAGAAAAAATGGAAAAGGAAAAAGGAAAGAAAAAAGAAAACAGGAAAAGAAAAAAAAAGAGAAAAGGAGAGAAAAAAGGAGGAAAAAGGAAATAGAAGAAAAAAAGAAAAACAGAAAAGAAAAAAGAAAAAACGAAAGAAGAAACAGAAAAAAAGGAAGAGAAAAAAAAAAAAGGAAATAAGAGAAAACAGGAAATAAAGGAAAAGAAAGAGGAAAAAACAGGAAATAGAGAAAAAGAAAAAAAAGAAAAAAAAGAAGGAAAACAGAAACATAAGGAAAAAAGAAAAAGAGAAAAAGGAGAGAAAACAGGAAATAGAAGAAAAAAAGAAGGAAAAGAAACAGAAGAGAAAAAGGAGAGAAAACAGGAAATAGAAGAAAAAAAGAAGGAAAAGAAACAGAAGAGAAAAAGGAGAGAAAACAGGAAATAGAAGAAAAAAAGAAGGAAAAGAAACATAAGAGAAAAAGGAGAGAAAAAAAAGAAGGAAAAAAGAAATAAAAGAAGAAAAAAAATAGAAGAAAAAAAGAAGGAAAAAAAAAAACAGAGAAAACAGAAAAAAAAGAAAAAAGGAGAAAAAAGAAGAAAAAGAGAGGAAATAAATAGAAGAAAAAGAAGGAAAAGAAAGAGAAGAGAAAAGGAGAAAAAGAGGGAAAAAGAAGAAAAAAAAAGAAGGAAAAAAAAGAAAAAGAGAAAAAAGAAAAGGAGAGAAAACAGGAAATAGAAGAAAAAAAGAAGGAAAAGAAACAGAAGAGAAAAAGGAGAGAAAACAGGAAATAGAAGAAAAAAAGAAGGAAAAGAAACAGAAGAGAAAAAGGAGAGAAAACAGGAAATAGAAGAAAAAAAGAAGGAAAAGAAACAGAAGAGAAAAGGTGTCAAAAGAAATGAAGAAAAAACAGGAAATAGAAGAAAAAGGAGAAAGAAAAGAAAAAGAAGAAACAGAAAAAAAAAGGAGAAAACAGGAAATAGAAGAAAAAAAAGAAAGGAAAAGAAAGAGAAATTAGAGAAAAAAGAAATGAAGAAAAAAGGAAATGAAGAAGAAAAAAGAAGGAAAAAAGAAAGAGAAGAAAATGAAAAAAAAAAAAAGAAAAAAAAGGAAAAAGAAGAAAAAAAGAAGGAAAAGAAACAGAAGAGAAAAAGGAGAGAAAACAGGAAATAGAAGAAAAAAAAAGGAAAAAAAAGAAGAGAAAAAGAAGAAACATAAGAGAAAAGGAAAAAGAAAATTAAGAAAAATAGGAAATTTTTGAAGAAAAAAAAAGAAGGAAAAAACAAAAGAAAAGAGAGAAACAGAAAGGAAAAGAAAAAGAAAAAAAGAAATCTAAGAAAAAGAAATGGAAAAAAAAGAAAAATTAAGAGAAGAGAAAAGAATAGAAAAAGGAAATGAAGAAAAAAGAAGGAAAAGAAACAGAAGAAAAGAAAAAGGAGAAAACAGGAAATAAAAAGAAGAAAAAAAGAAGGAAAAGAAAAGAAAAAGAGAAAAAAGGAGAGAAAACAGGAAAAAAGAAGAAAAAAAGAAGGAAAAAAGAAACAGAAGAGAAAAAAAAAGAAATAGAAAAAAAAAAATAGAAAAGAAAAAGAGAAAAAAAGAAGGAAAAGAAAATAAAAGAAAAACAGAAAAAGGAGAAAAGAAAAAAGAAAAAACAGGAAAGAGAAAAGAAGAAAAAAGAAGGAAAAAAAGAAGGAAGAAAAGAAAAAAGGAGAGAAAACAGGAAATAGAAGAAAAAAAAGAAGAAAAAGGAAAAAAATTGAAAAAAAAGAAAAAAGGAGAAAACAAAATAGAAGAAAAAAAAAGAAAAAGAAGGAAAAAAAGAGAAGAAGAAAAAGGAAAACAGGAATAGAGAAAAAAGGAAAAGAAACAGAAGAAAAAAAAAAACAGGAAGGAAAAAAAAAGAGAGAAAAAGAAAAAAAAAAGAGAGAAAAACAGAAAAAAAAGGAGAAGAAAAAGAAGGAAAAGAAGAAAAAAGAAAAAGAAAGAGAAGAGAAAAAAGAAAAAGAAGGAAAAAAGAAGGAGAAAGAGAAAACAGGAAATAGAAGAAAAAAAGAAAGAAAAGAAACAGAAGAGAAAAAGGAGAGAAAACAGGAAATAGAAGAAAAAAAGAAGGAAAAGAAACAGAAGAGAAAAAGGAGAGAAAACAGGAAATAGAAGAAAAAAAATATATATAGAAGAAAAAAAGAAGGAAAAGAAAGAGAGAAGAAAAAGAAGGAAAAGGAAAATATATATTCAATCAGAATCCCATCTTTCTCTCTGACTGAAAGAGATAGACAGTTATATATATATATATATATATATATATATATATATATATATATATAATGAAAAAAGAAAGAAAAAACAGAGATTAGAATGAGACACACACACACACACACACATATATATATATATATATCGATCGATTCTGCGGATAGATAGATGGAGAGTGAGAGATAGAAAAAGGAGAGAGATTATGACAGAGATCGATCGATAGATTCTGTGATAGAGATAAATTCTGGCTGAGACTGAGATAGACAGACTGATGATATATATATATATATATATATATATATATATATATATATATTCGATCATATGATATATATATATATATATTCAATCAAATATATATATATATTCAGTCATATATATATATATATATTAAAATAATATATATATATATATATATATTCAATCATAATAACACACTTAAATTAAGCTATAGCTGTGCTGATAACTTGGAGAAAAATAATTAAGAAACATAATAACAGAGTCTTTAACAAGTATAGGGGTTCTAAAAACTTGACTACGCACCAGGTTGCAAGTAGTACAACTAAGTATAATGACATGAATAACAACTTGTGCAATTGTTAGAATCCAAATAATTGTCCATTACAGAATAATTGTTTGACTAGTTATCTAGTTTATCTTAGTACAATCTCTCCACAAAAAAAAACTCAACTATTGAAAAATTTTACATTGGTAGCACTGTAAATTCATTCAAAGAACGTTGGCGGAGACATATGCAATCTTTCACTAGTAGTAATGATAAGTACAAGTCTTCATTATCCAAGTATTTTTGGAGTTTAAAGGAGAAGAATAATATACCTACTGTTCAATGGAAATTAATCAAGAGAACTCGAACATGTAATTCCCTATATGCCCCTTGTTATCTTTGTCTTAATGAAAATTTTGAAATAATTAGATTTTAAAAACGAGATGTATAGTTGAATGTTTGTGTGTTTTTGTGATTGTATGTATATATGAATATATCTGTACTTATAATTATATGTTTGTACATATATATATATATATATATATATATATATATAAAATATATGTGTGTGTGTGTGTGTGAGTGTGTGCGTGTGTGTGTGTGTGTTTGTGTTGATACCTGTTATATGTGTGCTTGTTTGTGTGTTTGTGCGCTAGTGTATGTGTGGGTGTGTAAACTTAGGTACGTGTCTGCGTGTGTATGTGTGTATATATATACATATATATATGTGTATGTTTATGCATATGTATATGTGGATGTATATATATGGGTATTTATGCATGTATATATATATATGGGTGTATGTGCGCATGTATTCGTATATGTATATGTATGTATATCGTAGTATCTTGGAATGTATCATCAATACTAACTAAAATCTACTTTTGTTTGATAATGGTTTTATAATTGCTTGTAGACTTAATAATGAACAATTACATTTTAATGGACTTTACTGTCGTTTATCTTCACTAAGATAATATTGTTATAATATGTGTAGGTTTATGTATGTATTTGTGTATGTATGTGTATATATATATATATATATATATATATATATGTGCATGGAAATATGTGTGTCTTTGTTTGCGTATATATGTGTTTATATATCTGTCTGTGTGTTTGTATATGTGTATGTGTGCATATGCATGTTTGTGTGTTTCTGTATGTGTGTATATATGTATATTTGGTCTTTTTTATGTTGCTATGCGGGTTGATGCATTTATATTTGTTTCTGTGTGTGTATATACATATGCGTATGCGTGTATGTATGTGCGCATGTGTATATATGGATATATGTATGTATATGGCTATATGTGTGTGTATATGTTTGTGAGTAAGTATGCTTTTGTGCGTTTCTGTCTGTAGTGAAGAATATGTGTACACATAGGTCTATATGTATTTTTTATTTTCTTTCACATATTGTTATATATTTGTACTCATGTATGTGCACTAGTGCGTATATAGGTGTATATGAGATATTTATATATATTTGTGTGTTTGGAAGTTTTCTTTTTTATATATTAGATGTTGTTATTTTTATGCATATATATATCTATTTTTCTGTCGCTGTCTGTATGTTTTAGTGTCCTTTTTTCCTTATGTTGTTCATTGATGAATATTTGTCTTTCTGTTCTGCCCATGTTGAACTTTATCTATTCAACCATTTTTATCTATGTATCTTTGCTTGTATAAGTTATATTTTAATAGGGTGTTAGAATTCGTTTAATAACACTTTCAAATTTGAATATTTCTTGGTGGGTGTATGGGTGTATCTTTGTCAATATATGTGTGTGTATGTGCGTGTCTTTGTCGGTGTGTATGTGTAAGGTCGCTTGTGTTTGTCTTTCATTATGTGTGTATATTGTCGTTTTTTTCAGGGTCGTGAACATATTTCATGTCTCGTCCCTTTATTGCGTGTTTATGTATCTAAATATGTCTGCGTGTTTGTATAATCTGATTGAGTATGTATTGTCTTTTGCAAGATTTCATCCTCCCTTGCCCATTTAACGTTTATTCCAAAAACATTAAATAAAGCATTAAATAATTATTATAACCAAAGTTCGTTGTCAAGTTTTTTGAATTCTCATATACTTGTATTTTGATTGGTCATTCCAGCTTATGTAACAGCATTTCCCCTAGCGAAGGATGTTTGATTGATTTGAACCTTTTAAAACCCTTTATTCTACATTCAACACCATCACTTGATAAGACACCAGAAGTGTTGAAACAAAATGGCTATTTTTGTAGTGATTTTATAACATATTTATGTTATAATTTTCAAATAATTATATATATATATATATATATATATATATATATATATATATATGTGTGTGTGTGTGTGTGTGTGTGTGTGTGTGTTACATGTAATCGATCCGTTGATATATAATCCGGGTGGATCCTCGTTTTTTTATAACAGAGCATATGTATTTTTTACAGCAAAAAACAAAATGTACCTCAACATACTGACTGATAGAGAGAGAGAGAGAAGTAGAGAGAGGGGGGAAGAGGGGGATTCTTACTGAGATTGATAGATTGTACGATAGATAGATTATGACTGAGAAAGACACACACACACACACACACATATATATATATATATATATATATATATAGAGAGAGAGAGAGAGAGAGACTGGGAGGATTCTGATATATGATATATATATATATATATATATATATATATATGAAAAATAAGATAAATGAAATATATATATATATATATGAAAAATAAGATTGCTAGAGAGGAAAATAGATGGCTGGATACACAGAAAGAAAGATGGCTGGATTGATCTGAACTGATCGAGATCAACAGAAAAAGTTAGATGCAAGTAAATGTATGTTGAATTAAAGAAAGAAAATTGGTGCCATAATAAAAGAATTCGAATTATTGATTGAAGTCTAAAGCACAAAAGAAAGCAAAAAAAGGAAATGCCATAAATGAAATAAAGATGTTATGTTTTAAGAAACTGCCAGAACGGAAGTATTAAAACACACTTACGCTTGTACGGAAGCGTTTTGATTGGTCGACATTAAATCGCTGGAGGCGACTTGTCTCCCAAGTACCATCGTCTTAATCTTAGCTCTGATACTAAAAAACGCTGCAAAAGAAATTAATGAACAGAGAAATATAAAAAAAAATCTCTTTAGAACCCTCTTGAATCTTTCCATGACTGAAATCGAATTCTTGTCAAATAAAGAAAAGTGTTTCATTTATTTATTAGAATTACATTCACTGCTGTGAGATTGAAATAACTGATTGCCATCCTAATTTTTTTTTGCGTAATCATCCGAGTCATGTGAAATCGATCTGCCTACTCATCTTGTCTACGAAACTACATAAAAAAAACTGCTTTCTGTTTTATGGCCGAGTTGAGAAAGATTATTTCCTGGGTTTTAAATTCCACAGAAAATGAGAACAATGTCTTAAATAATTGTTCATATATTTAGATTATTACTAAATATAATGATTATTTCATTAGAGTAAGTGAACTATTTTAATAATGATAATTGTACATTTTCAAACCATAATCGTTCCCAGAGAAACATTATATGGAAACTTGAAATTCAAATGGATAATTAATTCCCAACCTAATACGGTATGAAGCCTTTCTTAGCAAGAAGAAAATCTGTTGGGAAGATGATGCCTCTGTTCCAATCAGCCGAAGAGTGAAACCGAAATTGAAAAGTTAAATATGTGAACCTTGCGTAGAACTGACGACATGTTTGGATCTGAATGTGCCATCTATAGACACCCTTATTGGTGCACTTGGAATAATACCAAAGTGTCTTACAAAGGCTTTGTGGTATTATTAACTAAAGACCCGAGGAAAAATCAAAACCGTCCACAAGTATTTTAGTTACAATTTTGAGCAGTGTACTTGAATACTCTGGAGACTTATTAGTGTTTGAACTCCAATAATAGTTATCAGATATTCCTGTTATGAATATTTGAGTACACAGATAAAAAAAAAGAAGAAATGATATCACTGATATTAACTAGTTAGGAAAGTTTATTAGTATAAATTATATCGAATAATATCTGAATCTATAAAGGGATATCAAGATTTTGCTCAAGAACTGCAAAAATCTGAAAATGTATAAACGTAAAACAACCCAGTTAGAATACTAGAATTCGCTGATATAGTTATTTGTTGGTTCAGTTTCTGGATTGAGTAGAGTTGATTTGGACTCAACGGAAACTGGGTGAGCAATAATAAATACGAACTATGAATGGACAACGGAACGAGAACATCGTCGAATCGTTCAGTTCAAAATTTCCCAAAGGTTATCCAGATAGACAAACACCTGAGACAAACAGAGTAGTCGAAACGTTGTGATAAGAAAAACGAAGATGCGGAATTTAGTTCGAAGGAAAAAAAATCAAAGATACCCATTCGAATAATTAATCAAAAAATGAAAGTGTAGAATTTAGAATTCCAAAGAAAATTTTTGCTTGGCAGTACAAGCCGGCAATTTGCAAACAGACTTTCTGTATATGCAAAAACGAATACACTCATATTTTCTTTTGTCTTTCATCACCAAATAAAATGGGAGCCTATTTTGCATGTCGATATGCAATGCTTCCACTTCTCAGAGTCTTTACTTTTTGTCAAAAAACGTGATACAATTTACCGAGTAATAGATTAAATGCGAATTTTGTGCCATATTGGAAGGCGATTGTATTCAAGACAGTAATGGATGCGAAATAATGTCAAATTATTATGCTTGTTATGTTGGCGTTGTGAAGGCAAACTGAGTCAGCAGACAGAATGTTAAATGATGTGAATAAGAAAGAATACCAAATACATACGAGCGGCTGTAATATCATTAGGTTTCACACGTTGAATCTGTAAGCAAGTTTTTGTCAGACGGAAAAAAGAAAAATGAAAAAAAGAATAAGAAAAAGAAGAATATAAAAAAATGAAGAAAAAAAAGACAAGCGAAATAGAAGAAATAAAAATATAGGTTTCGCGGTGACGAGGACAAAGAAGATGGGAAGCGAAGAAAAGTGAGACGGCAAGGGAAGGAATCGAAAAGGATAAGGAAAAAAAAGGCAACTACAAAAAAGGAAAAAGTAAAATAGGAAGTAAATTGAAAGACTTTAATTTGAAAGTAATCCCAGTAAAGAAGAACCGCATGCAACGTTGTAATAGGTACTTTACAGGATGATGAAATGCATTCTCGTCACCAGTGAGCAAGTAGCAGGTGACCAAAATGTAGACAAAGTGACTTTGTACTAAACAAGAAAATGATGAGAAGCAAGAACTTTCTAATTCCTCTTGGCACCAAACTGATTCGGATTGTTTCTGGTTGGTAACTCTGCGTCAGTAGAAAATTGCTTGGATTTTCTGGTGCCACATTCAGACATGCAAAAGTGTAACAAATAAAATTGTCCTGAATTGAAACAAGATTACATAAAGTAATAATAGGTTTATACGACCTAACATTCTTCACAAAGAAACAACATTCACATAAAATGTGCCATGTGGTAGTGTTATAGAGAGAACATTTACTGAAAGATCGAGATTTACAGCTTTGAGGTTCGGAAGAGTTGCAGTGAGAAGCAGGGTTAATATTGGTAAACAGTAGGCTAGCAAAATGGTTATATATATATATATATATATATATATATATATATATATATATATATATATATATATATATACGCACACACACACAATGGGGTAAAAAAACGTTTATATCCTGGTTCAATTCTCCATATCTGGTCATATATTTTATTCTCTCTTTCTCGCTATCCATTTCCACCTCTCACTTTCTGACTATATATATATATATATATATATATATATATATATATATATATATATATATATATATATATTATACACGAGGTGTATGGCATGGTACACCAGATTGGTGATTTTCTAAGTGCAGTTTAGATGTGCCTCAAATTAGAATATGTGGGGCACCTAATGAGTATCGAACTCATTATTTTTGTAAGTTGTAATTGATCTAGAGCTTGCTAACGCTTACACCACAAAATTCTCCCCACTATATGCACACACCCAATAATATGCTGACATTCTGTGAAATTAACTTTCTAGCCAGTGGATATCTGACCCCATTTCCAGTTCGGATCTGATCTCGCTAAATATCTTTGTGTGTGGCGTTTTAGAATAGGTCACTAAGAAGACATGACATTCCAATATTAAAACCCTCAAGATTTGCATCAAATAGAAATGGTCGAAAGATCTCTAAGGGTTTGCGAACTTTTTGCGGTCGAAATAATGGAATTTTTGATGAATAAATTATTCGTTATTATCAATTTGTCTTGAAAATAATAAATATCGTAAGCTGAAACTAGTATGATATATTCTTCATATACATAAAAGCATATACTGAAAGTTTAAACAATATTGGCTGTTTAAAACAAATTTTGTCGTAAAGACATTTACTCGTATAATAAAATCTGACATACTGTACACACGCACACATATACATATAAGAGATAGGTATATATATATATATATATATATATATATATATATATATATATAGAAAGAGAGAGAGAGAGAGACGCATACATATAGATACAGAGATAATCTCTGTGGATTAAATTCTAATTAGGCTAGTTTCGTAAAAGTTCTAGTCAAAATTAAAAAGAGAAAGCATGAGATACAACGGATTCAGAATGATTTGTATCGTTATTTTAGACGCATACTGGTCATTGTTTTTCTATCATGTTTGGCATTGTCACACTGTTTTAGCTCGTTGTACGCTCCAGCTTTTCGTCGCAGTTGGTAATATTCATACTGCTTTTTTATTCAATCGTTAACCCTCACCCTGCCAGCTCATTTGACGTTCTGTGTTAAAGAATAGTGTGTTTGATTTGGGCTAGTTCATTACCATTTTTGATGTCGCTTGTCACTTTCAGCCAAGCACAGTAGTTGCCTATGCCATGAATCCTGTATCTGGCCAGTCCTCATACCAAAAAGAAAATCCAGACCAAAATTGGGACATACTGCAAAGGAAATACGTTTTATATAAAAAAAATACCCAATACATAGGATATATAACGATTGCAGTGGTTAAGATTGTATGCTTTAGGAAAGCATCCACACCGGAGCATATTTCATAAAGTAGCAGTACTTGGGAAAATGCTATTTCAGTGGAACTTTTCCTTTCATTTCGAATACAGAAGAAATGAAGATGATTCAGCTCTGTGGGAGTAATTTGGCATATCCGAAATGTAAAGATATGAACTGGTGAAACTAAAGAATGAAACTCATCTGAATATTTGCTATGGGAATAGCGATAGACTTGCGATGTTTCATCTATGAAAAAGAGGTTCAGATTGGAGAATACGACCTTCCCCTATTGGACAAGAGCTCGTAAAGGATTTGAAACTCTATCAACGCGGCAAAGTGAGCAGCACCAGCCCGGATATTGCCGTAATGCTTCATTTGGAGTCTCACCTTCTGACTCTTGTAAAGATGATGCATGACAATACGAATCAGATACTTCCTGGAGTGTTGGAATAAGCCAACCATTTTCCCAGCAACTTTAGCAAAAGATTGTATCTATGGTGATTTTCTGAGCATCTAAAGTATGGTGCATCCAGTGAGGGCCGAACTCCCTATTCAATCGTATTTGATATAGCGAGACAAGCTTGCTAACCACTACAACACGTTGAAGTAGCGAGAGGATTGCATCTCTGAATCCCACTTGAGATGGTGAGTGAAATTGGGACGTTCAAAGCTTGAATCCTCATTGAAAGTACAACGTTGCATCGTGACTGGATAAAACTCTGGATCTTAAACAGTGATGGTTAAGCGATAATACCTTGTTATATCAAGGTATTGCAGATTTCAAGTCAGTTTTTTCTCCGTTCATCTGTTAGCACTAGATCAGAGAAGAGATCAATTTGATTTTTGAAAGTGCATTCAAAAATATTGCTATCATCTGGGTATGAAACATAGAAGTAATTTATATATTCATCGAGCTAAGTTGAGGCGTTTCAGAATAGTCCACCAACATATTTAATATTTGTGTTTTTTCAAAATGCAATAAAAAACATTAATTTTTACACATCTTTCTTTCAGTGT